GTAGTCCAGGCCACAAAAGAGGCTTTTTCAGAGTTACAAGAGACTGAGACTCAAGCCTCCCTGAGTTCTGAGGCAGAGAGTGACAGTGAATCATCTGGAGAAACCCTGACTGAAACTAGAGGCTCCATTGTTAGTGAGGATGAGGAGGAGCCTCTTAGCAACAACAAAAGAGTTAATAGAAATCTCGGGGCGCGACCCAAAAGGAGGGACTTCAGTCAGAATCGGGTATATCCTACTCTGTCAGACCTAGAAAATGAAAATAGCTCAGACCCAGACTCGTCAGAGTCTGAGAAGGAACGGTTACTTGCTGAGGTCTCGGCCCTTAAAAGGCACTAAAAAGGACTCGAATTAAAAAAGACAGGACAGGGAGAGAAACCCTCCATACTCTAAAATGAGGGACTCCTCCTTCTCGGACCTGGAGGGAAGACCCAGAGGAGGGGTCCAATGCTGTCCGGTGGTGGCCCCAGTAATGGAAGTTCCAGACCCAAACAACCCTGAGCGGGTCATTAGGCGCCATAACCCTTTAAGTTTCAAAAATATGAAACAACTGAAAGAGGCAACTCTAAATTATGGAGCACAGGCTCCCTTTACACTTTCCTTAATGGAATCTTTTGTGCCTCTTAATTTGACACCTGGCGATTGGCAGCAGCTTTGCAGAGCAGCTTTGTCCGGGGGAGATTATTTGATTTGGAGAGGTGAGTTTCAAGAAAGATGCAGCCAGACAGCCCAAAGGAATGCACAGGCCGGACAGCCCCAGAGAAATGTGGAGATGCTTACTGGGAGTGGTCAGTATGCCACCGCTCAACAACAAATGCAATATGACATCGCTGTCTATGCCCAAGTGGCGGCAGCAGCCCAAGGTGCTTGGAAAGCATTGCCTTCAAAGGAAGGAGGGGATCACCTGTCCAGAGTCCTTCAAGGACCCTCCGAACCTTTCCAAGACTTTGTAGACCGCCTCAGTCAGGTAACAGAGAGAATATTTGGGGGCATTGGGCCTGCGATGCCAATTATCAAACAGATGGCTTTTGAAAATGCAAATAAGTACTGTAAGGAGGCTCTTCGCCCCCACCGCAACAAAAGTCTAAATGACTACATCCGGATCTGTAGAGACATTAATGGTAATTTCATCCAGGGCCAAGTGTTAGCTGCTACTATTCGACCCCAAGGGGGAAAAAAAGATCTAATCAGGGAGGGAGAAAAACATGTTTCAGCTGCGGTAGGGAGGGACACTTCCATAGAGAGTGCCCTCAAAATAGTACTACTAGTCTCAAGAGACCTGGTTTATGCCCCCGCTGCCAAAGGGGATATCATTGGGCCACTGACTGTTACTCTAGAACTGACTTGGGGGCAATTTCCTTCCTACTAATAATAATCAAAAAAACTGGAAGAGGGCCCCGCCCCAGGGCCCCAAAACCAATGTATATGGGGCAATGACCCCCGCTGTGGACAGCAGCAAGATTCGTTTACTCCCCCAGAGCAACCCCTTCATATCTCAGACCTCCTTAGAGCCACTTCAGGCAGTGCAGGACTGGACATCGGTCCCTCCACCCGGGCAGTCCTAACACCCGAGATGGGGATCCAGGCCCTCCCTACTGGGGTACATGGGCCATTGCCCCCAGGCACAGTTGGACTACTCTTGGGACGGTCCAGTACTATCCTTCGAGGCATCCAGGTACACCCTAGTGTTATAGACCAGGATAGTGAGGGAGAGATTAAAATAATGACATCAGTGGACAGTGGGGTTGTTGCCATCCCAACAGGAGAACGGATTGCTCAGTTACTCCTCCTCCCTACAGCTCCTTGTGAGGCTCGAAAAATTAAAGAGAAAAGGGATAACCAAGGTTTTGGAAGTACTGGCCCAGCAGCATTTTGGGTAGCCACCATGGAGAACCGCCCCCAGCTTACATTAAAGATAGAAGGCAAGTCCTTCAAAGGCGTTTTAGATTCTGGCGCGGACATTTCTGTCCTCTCAGATAAATTCTGGCCCCCTGCCTGGGCCAAGCAGGAAGGGAAGGTGACCCTCCAGGGAATAGGACAGGCTGTGCCACAAAAGAGCCTCAGAATGCTAAAGTGGCAAGATTCTGAGGGCCACACAGGGTTTTTTCAACCATATGTTTTGTCTGGCCTCCCTACCAACCTCTGGGGACGAGACCTCCTACGAGAAATGGGAGTGGTCCTCACCACCCAGGCACCCAAGTCCAAAAGCGGGGCCCCCAAGCAAGGGATGGGCTGGAGTCAGGGGAAGAGACTAGATAAACTGGAACAGGGAGAGGCTTGCCCCGTGGCATCCCCCCCTTTGAATACCAGGGCCCCAGTGAACAGGAAGGATTTTAACCATTTTTAATGAGGGTCACTGTTGCGCCGCCAGCCCCCATACCTATCACATGGCTATCAGATGATCCCGTATGGGTGGAACAGTGGCCCTTACCAGCAGAAAAACTCCAGGCGGCTCATCAGCTAGTTCAGGAACAATTGGAGGCAGGCCATCTGGTCCCCTCCACGTCCCCCTGGAATACCCCCATATTTGTAATTAAAAAACCATCAGGAAAGTGGAGGTTACTACAAGACCTGAGGGCCATAAATGCGACCATGCAGCCCATGGGGGCGCTCCAGCCTGGCTTGCCCTCACCTGTGGCCATTCCTAAAGACTGGCATTTGATTGTCATTGAGTAAAAGATTGCTTCTTTTCCATTCCCCTACATTCTCAAGATAGTCCTCGGTTTGCATTTAGCCTTCCTGCAATTAACTTTTGGGAGCCTGCACTTCGCTTCCAATGGGTGGTGCTCCCCCAAGGGATGGCTAACAGTCCAACTATATGCCAGATTTATGTAGCTGCCTGTTTAGATCCCCTCAGGCGTAAGTTCCCTGATCTTTACATCATCCACTACATGGATGATGTTCTTTTGGCTGCAGCTGAGGAGAGGCAATGTTACATAGCCTTTGCAGAGCTACAAGAGCTCCTGGAGGCCCGCGGATTTATTTTGGCTCCAGAAAAGATCCAAAAGAGACCCCCTTATACTTACTTGGGTCATCAAATTCAACAAACTGGCCTCCGGCCCCAAAGACTCCAAATTGATTGTTCAAATTTAAAAACGCTTCATGACTGGCAGAGATTTTTGGGAAAGGTGCAGTGGATTTGCCCTTCTCTTTCTATTGAAACAGCGGCTCTTAAACGCCTTTATGATATTCTTCCTGGGGATCCCGCTCCAACTTCCCCTAGACAGATTACCCCAGAGGCCAGGAATGCCCTACAGTTGTTGTTAAAAAGTATAGAGCAAGCCCACCTTTGGTGTATAGATTATGGACAGCCTCTTGTTCTGGTTGTACTGTGTCATCTATCCAGACCACCTTGCTACATTCTCGGATGCAGGCCACACAGCAGGTGCGACACATTTAAGCTGAATATCAAGGCCTAAAGACATGCACCTTTAATCAAGATCTTGATGCTAGGAGACACACCCTAAATTGGGACGCACCTTCAGCTGAGAGCATATAAAAGGATGTGGAAGACATCTTAGATGGCTTGTATTCACCTTGCCCCAAGTTCATTCCTTCACTAGAATTGGAGAATATTTTCTGGAATTCCAGGATACACCAAAGACCAGTCAACATGTCCAACTGTTGGGGTACCCCGAATTGAGGAGGGGTCCCCAAGCCGGATTCATCACCCCAAGAATCAAGAGTCCACACGCCAATTGATGCAACACCCAAGAGGCTTTAATTAGGCATCTGCAGATGGGCCTCTCTGTCAGCTTTTAGACCGATTGGCCCCGAGGTTCAGTTACAATCAGCTTTTAAAGACAAAAACCACAAGCTTTTGGGAGGGGTCCTTATCTCATGATGGGTGAAGGGGGTACGTAACTCCCGACCCAGGGAAGTAGATGTCCTTCACATCAAACTTTGGCATGAATCGATTATCTCTCCCTAAGTAAATAGTGTTATCTCCTTGTTTCCCACTAGTCTTGTTTGCCCTGGTCAGTTCTTCACAGGTGGCGGCCCATAATTGGCTATTTGTGGATTTACAGCCCTTCTGCAATTAAGGTTGCTAAACCATACATTCCATTCTGTGGTATGGCTGGTTCCTGGGATGGGGTCCTTTGTTCACTTCCCAAGTTCTCTAGTGGGGTGCCCTCCCGGTTTAAGCTTATATTTTATTTCTATAAATTTGGGGTCTTACGCAACCTCCTGGACTGAGTAAATACTGAATTCTTAGACTTTCTCTTAACAATTAGACATTGTGGGATTAGCACTGCTATAGCCCTAAATCATTCTAATGATTACCCTTTGTTCACACAGAGAGTCACTGTGTATATTCTGCTACTCTAGAGAACCCTAGTACAACATTTTTGATATGAGTTTACAAAATATTCCAAATTTTCAGCAATTTTCTATAATTAGTTACCTATTGACCTAAGAATCAACCTAGAAAAAAATGAAGTGATGTAACAGTCCCTAATAGCCTAGACAATCTATACTAGTAACTACTATTGAAATCTGGATAGTGAATTTTCAGAGAACCACATTTCCAACCTCATAGAAGAAGGAACAGAGGAGAGACAGAAACTAAAAATATAAACTGTGACTATTGTGTCCCACAGGGTGAAGAAAACAAATCCAAGTTTTTCATTCCAGATCCATTTTAACATCAGACTACCTCCAGCAGAAATGTCAGAGGACAAAATAGCCCAGAGCTGGGACTAGAAACATTTCAGGCTCCAGAGTTTCTTTTCCAAGTGGAACATCGGCCAAGTCAGATTTTCTATGAAGAAAATGTGGGACAGCATTAGAAGCCCAACTTTCTCAACAGGGGATAATGACAAGTGGTGTTTGATACACCCAAATGGGGTAGATGGAGAAAGCAGAGATTACCTGTTAGTTAACCTAGAGTTGTTCAACTGCTCAAAGAGTACCCCTTGGAGCACAGTTCCAGTGTTGCATCATTAACATCCAAGGGGAAACAACTGAAACTACAACAAGGTCAAAAGCCTTTACCTTCCTGCCAGGCTATGAAAGAGGTTTCAAAAGGTTCATCCTTTGAGATTTCCTCTTGGCACACGTACATCAGCTTCTCCCTGAAGACAAGCTAACCCTCCACTGCATGGGAATCATGTTCCATGACTTATTCAGCATCTCTGACCTGAGCATGAAGCCAGGGATCCAGGTTCCAATTTGCAGGATGGCAGATGAACTAGGAAAGCTATGGGAGAATTCCCTCTTCCCAGACTGCTGCCTGGTGGTAGCTGGCCAGGAATTCTGGGCTCACAAGGCCATCTTAGCAGCTTGCTCTCCAGTTTTCAGAGCCATGTTGGTACATGACATGGAGAGGAGCAGAACAAACCGCATTGAGATCCATGATCTGGAGCCTCAAGTCTTCAAGGCAATGATGGGCTTCATTTACACCGGGAAGGCACCAGACCTCCAAGCCATGGCAGATGCTATGCTGGCAGCTGCTGCCAAGTATGGCCTGGAGCACTTGAAAGTCATGAGCCAGAGAGCCCTTGGCAGGGACCTCTCTGTGGAGAATGCTGCCCACACTCTCTTCCTGGCTGTCCTCCAAAGTGCAGAGCAGCTGAAAACCCAGGCACTGGATTTCATTACAGCTCATGGTTTTGAGGTCTCTCAGACCTCAAGCTGGAAGACAATGGTGGCCTCATATCCCCACTTGGTGACTGAAGCATACAGCTCCCTGGCTTCTACTCACCACTCTTTACTGGAGGTCCCTTTCAAAGACCTAAAACAGTGTTAGGATCCTGTCAGCTGTGACCTACAGGTGTAATCCAGAAATAGCAGTCAGCCTTGTTACCAAGGACACCTGGATACACTTCAGGACATGTGTTAGCATTTACAGAGAATCTGGGGAAAGACAGCATGGGGGTTTGGGCCTTTAATACAGCTGTAAATGAGTTGAATGGTAGATTGTGGAAGAGGCAGTGCTGGATTTTAACATATTCTACCCCACCTCTACCCTGTTGCTGTACTGTTTTGTTTTGGTTACTGTTATTCAGTGTAGTTAATGCCTCAATCATATCCCAACAGCATTTCTTTAGAAGAACCTGTTTGGATTAAACTGAGTGAAGCATATTATCAAGGGCTCTGAGCAAAGGATAAAATATGGATGCTTGCTTACAAGAGAAGCGAAAGAGAAAGAACACATATTTTCTCCAAACTCAGGGTGTGGGGGCCTGGAAAGTTGACTCAGGTGGCAAAAACAATTGTTGTTCTTACAGAGGACATTATCTTAGACAATATCTGTAGACAATATCTTCCCAAATAAAATATAAAATGAATTAAAATTGTAAAAATAAGTTTGTGGACTCTTCTTTGAAGAAGCACATATTAGTCCATCCAGATAATGTCAGCTGTGGAAATTTGGGCAGGGTTATCACTGTCACACACACAAACGTCAATAAAATGACACCTAATAAAATTCTGTAATGCTCAGAGATTGGTGCTAAGCCCAGTCTTCAATTTTCTCCAGCAGTTGGTGGGAGCAGATACTGAGATCCATAACAAAACATTAGGCAGAGCTAGGGAATCTCAAGGAAGAGTTGAGGAAGGATTGTAGGAGATAAAGCAGAGCCCACAGAATCCATCAAAGGGGGATCACAGGGTTCACAGAGACTCAGGAGGCCCTCACAGAGCCTTCATGGGTCTGTACTATGCCCTGTACCATGTTTTGGGTGTTTAGCTTGGGGTTTTTTGTAAGACTAACAGTGGGTGTATAGGAATACTCTGACTTATATGTCTGATCTCGAGTACCTTTCCTTCCTTTTGGGCGCCAGCCTCCAGGCTTGATATGAGGGTTTGTGCTAAGTCTTATTGCATCTTGTTATGCTATGTTCAGTTAATATCCCCAGAGGGCCTGCTCTTTTCTGAAGGGAAACAGGAGTAAGTACTTCTGGGTAGAGTGGAGGGAGGGAAGGCTATCAGAGAATGATAAATAAAAAGGAAAAAATAGAGAAAAGCTTTTGAAGAAGTATTTGGATCGATCTGCACAGAAACAAAAAAGTTAAGGTCCCTGTGTCTCCTGTAAATGCCCATGAAAATGTATCTTTAGCAAAGGAGGAGTCCAATAATCAAGTAGATAGGATGACACATTCTGTGGACAGTTGCCTCATTCCAAGTCATGCTTGTTATTGCCTGATGGGTCCATGCTCAATTTAGCCATGGTAGCTGAGATGGCAGTTATCCATATGCTCAACAAAATGGACATCCACTCTTCAAGACTCACCTGGTTACAGCTGCTGTTAAACACCAGATCTGCCAATCACAGATACCAACATAGAGCCCAAGAGATATGACAGTTCCCCAGGCAGATCTGCATACAACTTAGTGTGATAGGATGACTACATTGGACCACTTCAGCTGCCGAAGGGACACACTTTGTCCTTACTGGAATAAATCTTTTCTAGTTATGAATTTCCCTTTGTTGCATGGAGTGATTTTACCAACCTACCACACCAGGACTAACAGAGTGCCTTGCCAACCTTCATGATACTCCACACAGTGTACCTTCTAACCAAGGCACCACATTCATAGAGAGCTGCAGCTCAGAGCTGGTGGGAGTCACAAATCAATGATTGCTCTAACTTGAGGCCTGAGACAAGATAAGGAGGCATTTCCCGGCACAACCTGGATGGCCAGGAACCAGAAGCTACATGGCACAGAGAGCTCAGGTGGAACTAAACATGACTGAAAAAGAAAAGGTCAATGAAGTGATTATTTTTCTCTTTCTTTTTCTTTTTCTTCTTTTTATGTGTTTGCCAGGCAGAATTTCTCTGTATAAATGCTCTAGCTTTCCTGGAACTCACTCTGTAAAAACCAGGCTGGCCTTTGACTCCCGAGTGCTGGGATTGAAGGCGTTTGCCATCACTGCCAGCATTAAAATAATTCTTAATGAAATTCTAGTATATTCCTATATTATTGCCTATCCCAATTGTCATCAGAGAGTCTTCCTCCAGCAGTTGATTGGAGCAGATGCAAAGACCCACAGCCTAATATTAGATAAAAATCGGGGAACCTTGCTGAAGAGAAGGGGGTACGATTGTAGAAGCCAGAGGGGTGGAGGGCACCAGGAGAACATGGCCCACTGAATCAACAAGTAGGTTTCATAAGGGCTCACAGAGACTGAAGGACTTATCACCAAGTTTTTATGCATGGGTCCTCTTCATATATGTTGTGGTTGTTTAGCTTGGGAGTTTTTCTGGGATTCCTAACAGTGGGAGTGGGGATATATCTGCCCCTTTTGATGTTCCTATGACCCTTTCCCTCCTACTGAGTTGCCTCATCCAGCATTGATATGAGGATTTGTGCCTAGTGCAATTCCATCTTGTTAAGCTGTGTTTGTGGATATCCCTGGGAGGCCTGCCATTTTCTTAAGGGAAACAGAGGAGCAGTGGATCTAGGAGCCAGAGGAGGTGAGAGGAGGGCTGGAAGAAGTGGAAAAAGGGGAGCCTGTAACTGGTATGTATTGTTTGAGAGAAGAATAAATAAAAGGAAACGGAAAAAAGGAAGTCACTTCACCAAAGAAAAGCTAGAACCAGACCGTTTTAGCAATAAATCCTACAAGAATTCCAAAGAATAATTAACACCAATACTCCTCAAATAATTCCATTAAATAGCAACAGAAGGAAAACTGACCAACTCATTTATGAGACTACAGTTACCCAGATACACAAACTACATAAGGACCCAACAAAGAAAGAGTATTAAACACCAATTTCCCACATGAACATAAATGCAACATACCGAATAAAATGCTCACAACCCAAATCCAAGAACACACCAAAAGATCATCCACCATGCCCATGTAAGCTTCATCCCAATGATTCAGGGATGGTTCAATATATGAAAATCAATAAATGTAATCCTCCATTTATTGAAATGAAATTGAAAAACAAAAACAAAAGCAACAATAGTATTTTTATGGAATTCCTGAGTGTGAGAACAAGTGGGACTCTGATTCTTCTGCTTGCTCTTGGGCTCTTTTCCTACTGCTGGGTTGCTTTTTCTGACTTCAATATGATGTTTTTGCTTTACCTTATTATATTTTTTTTTCATTTGTGGTTGTTATCTCTGAGAAGCCTGTTCTGGGTTTTGTTGTTGTTGTTGTTATTGGGTGGTTTCTGTTTGTTTTTGTTTTTTATTTTTGTTTTTCTAGACAAGGTTTCTATGTGTAACAGTCCTGGTTGTCCTTGACAGTATATTTGTAGGGCAGGCTGGCCTTTGCTGGCCTATTCTTTCCCAATGAGAGACAGAAAGGGCGTGATCCAGAGAGGAGGAAATGAGACCCTCTTTCTACAAGCAGCAATTTCTAAGCATCTGTTTAATCCTTTAGAAATTTTAAGTAATTACTATTTTGGAGTAGGATGTAGAAGTAAATGGAAAATAGATAATTGACTCCAAATTACCTTGTCTTAAAAAGGACCATGGTTCCCAGAGACAATGTAATCTCTAATATCTGAATTTATTGCATATGTCTAAGGGCTAGAATTAGACACAGAGTTTAATGCCACTTTTTATTTGTTTATTTTTATATTTTCTATTGATTGTCCTTTTTGCTTATTCATTTATTTATTTATTTGCTTATTTATTTAAGGGGGGCTTTCCTGTAGTCAATGCTTCACTCTGACTCACTCTGAAATCCAGGGTAGCCTTGAACTCTTTGCTTTCCTATCTCTATTTCTGGAGTGCTAAGGTCTTGACACAAGGTTATCTTGTATTATCTGGGTGGATAATTGCATCACATGAGTACTTGTAAATGGAGAAGAAACTGCAAAGAAGCAGAGAAAGACGGACAAAAGAAGAAGATATTTTCATGAGTCTTGTCTGGGAACCCAAACCAGGCTGTTTGGAACCATCTATAGGCTGAAAAAAGGCCACAGTCTCCAGTACACTGCTGATGACTCCATGGGAGCCCTTCTGGTTTTCTGACTTTTTTGTCCTATACATGATTGCATCATGAAAAAGCATTATTCTTTAACCACTGCAAAGTTAGAAAATTAATTTATGTTCTTTTGCCTTATCCTATAAAAGTGAAGTTGGAGAGATTATATTAATAAAAATTGTCAACAAATTCTGTGTCTTTTCCTTTGTATATAGACACAAATATTATAAAAGCATTTCCTATAGGCTGGGCAGTGGTGAGCATGCCTTTAATCCAGAAAACAAAAGGAGATCAAGGAAATACAAATCAGAAAGGGAGAGGTCAAACTCGGCTGTAACAGCCCTCTCCAGGAAAGGAACAGGTTTGATATATCCTTCATGGAGATCATGACCCACCTCACTCCAGCTTCAGTTAGCGTGGCTTCCTGAAATACCAGGACACCTCTCTTTCTAGTGCTGAACTGTCTCGATACAGTTCCAGCCTACAGACCTGTCCTTGGTTGCCTGGGTTTCCAAACATTAGCAGCCAGCCCTCCAACATCAGGCACCTGCAGTTTGACATCTTGACAGTTTCCCCTGCCTTCTGAAGCCTTACCACCCTCTAATGGTTTGACATACATTCAGATCAGTCTTGGAAGTGTGTATGAAGTTGGAAAGATGATTTAGTGTCAGTAAGGAAAGTATTACTTAGAATGTCATTTAAGATTTATAGATATGTGGACCCACTGTCTAAAGCAGCAGTTCTCAACATGTGGGTTGCAACCCCTTTGGGGGAGTCAAAGGACCCTTTCACAGTGGTTGCCTAGAGACATCTACATATCAGATATTTACATTATGATTCATAACAGGACAAAATTGCTG